AAGTCTTACGAGAAAGTTGCGAGAAAAGGAGCGTTAGACACGACAGTGTTCAAGTTTAACGGTCACATATCACGTTTTGTACATAAACAATTGCCAAGTTTGTTGTGATATGGGATAACACTCGAAACTAAGCTTGTCAAGCAAATAAACTTAAATTGATAACGGGATTACACTGTTTATTCAAGGGCGGCCATGCTTCGTTTTCACGTTGCTTTTTTCAAATTATCGATTTTTTCATAACTTTATCGGCCATGTACCAAACGTGTTCTTCTGATTTTTATAAAACCAACACAATAGCTATCTTAAACATCAAAAAATAACTGAATACGATGCGCTGAACAGAAAATATCCTCTCGACTGTGCTACTTTTGGTTTTTGAGTCTTTTCAGCCATTTAGCAGTAAAAATAGCAGAACAATCTATTTTGTTTATTTAGCAGTCACGTGATGTACTTAATGTTGACATTAGTGTTATCATAATTTTTTGATAGTGTTGCAAGGGCTACAATAACATGTAAAAATTGTTAGTCATTTTATTTATTATTTTTATCAAGCTTTTTCTGTTTTGCCCAACGAAAGTCTACTACATCCTTAATGTTGAAAAATCATCATAATCAAGCATCATCTTTGGGATCCATACTTCTGAGATGTTTATGTTCCAACTATATTACTATAAACAAAACTATCTTAAATTTGATAACTAACGGGGACTGTGCCATGCATGGCTTGTTTTTTTTTATTTAGCATAAAGGTGCCAATATTCAACTCCTTGATCTGCCTGGTATCATAGAAGGAGCATCTCAAGGTAAGGAATGTATTTACCAACTTGGGTGTTTGACAGTGCATCACCTTGTTGCATCAGGGTCTTAGACGTCTTCGGTCTGCTCTCCCCTCTCCCATCCTACTGATCACTCACCAGTGTAAATTAAAATATATTCTACCCTGACCTAAACATGCGGTATTAGGTTTGGAACGATACCATCTTATCAGATGTAGATGATAAAATCTGTCAGCTACATGTGCTGTTTCTGTCTTCAGTGCACTTTAAATACCTTGTGCATCCTCATCCCGAAAAAGGAGTGTGAGATGATGATTCTTTTCTTGTAACACATACAAGTAATTAGATTTTTGCCTGTTCTTTATTTAGTAATTATAAATGTATAAATCTCTAGGAACATGTATTACCACATTCTTGAAATTGTTTAGTGAATTTTGAAATTCACAATACACAAGTATATAATTCAATTTTGTAATTCACAATACACAAATATATAATTCAATTTTGTAATTGTTCCTTAGGTAAGGGTAGAGGTCGTCAAGTCATTGCTGTAGCTCGAACCGCTGATTTGGTTGTTATGATGTTAGATGCAGGAAAGGGAGATGTACAAAAGTAAGTGAGGCATATCATTATTTTGATATTTGTATTTGGACAGAAAAAAACATTCCTTGTAATAATCAGAAAATGTGTGAATCACAAAAACTGTGACCAGAGACTGTGCCTAAGGAGTTGACCGTTGGTGGGACGAGATCCTGAATACAAATTTACAACAATATATCATCCTGTCAACAAATCTAGCTTAAAACAAAGGGGAAGAAAAATTTGACTTTAGAACGCTTGATTTTTTGTTTTTTTCACAATATGTATAGTATTTTCTTTTGCTGTCACTGTTATTGTATATGTTTTGTATTGATATTTAACTTCGCTGTGTATGAAAACCAATGTATTTGTGGTGTAAATCCAACACACTTTGATTCAACCACTGTACATGACTTTCAGTCACATCAGCAAAACACTGGATACAATGTATGTGATAAATAATTTTATGTTTTATAGAGTTTTGTTAGAAAAAGAACTTGAATCGGTTGGCCTGAGACTGAATAAGGACAGACCCAATATTTACTTTAAGGTAAATGACATCTGTATACATGTATATCACTTCTGTGCACTTGTATATGTTTACTGTGTAAACTCTTATACCTGTATATTAGTCAGATGGTTCAACAACACAAAGTACAGTGAGAGAGATTTAAAATATGTACTTGAACCCCAACAATTCTAAGTATATCAGTTTGTTTTTTGCAGCAAAAAAAAGGAGGTGGCGTTTCCTTCAACTCAACGCTTACCCTAACAAAATGTAGTGAAAAGATGGTTCAACTAATTCTTCATGAATACAGTATCCTTACATACTAAATGTATAAGAAACATTGTAAAACCCTCAATTGAGAGTCTCTTGTATCTTTCATTAACAGTCATCAATCGTTTTGTTAATAATGATTCTGATATATTTCCTGATGTATTGCAGTAATAAGGAAAGTATTTTTCCTGACTTGATATGTTTAAATGACTGTTTAAAACCTGTTTCTCCATGCAATAGTTAAACATTATACCAGCATTTTTATTGCCTGAATATGTCAAGCCAAGGTTAAATGGAGTTAAACATGTATAATACAAAGTATTGGTAAATCCTGTCATCAAATTAAATTGGCAAAAGGAATATTTTGCGCTGTGAAGAACTTCCGGGGTTCAAAGACAATGCATAAGCAAATAACACCTAAAGATGATTGTCATCTGCATTGGCTAGCTTGTGAAACTGGAAGTTTTGTCACACGTACGACACAATTCAGAATTAATTGACATATATCAACAAAGTCGCTAACGAGAAATTTCACAAATAAAATTTGGAAATCTGAAATATGGGTGCAAATTGGGTTTATAATTGCTGAATTCTAGTTTTGGGGTCATTTTCATTTAAATCATGCTTGCAAATAGAAATTTTTAATGCTGCATCACATTTGTACATGGAATTTAATGCTGTAGAGTAATTTTCATGTCTCAGAATTACATTTGAAAATATGTTAATATACATGTAATCAGAGCTACATTACTTGGGGTTTGCAACTACGGTGACATGATACCAAGATCCTGTTTCAATCTCGCTCTCACTTTCCAACTCAGAAAAATGTGAATGCGCATACCCGAGGTAACTAGGATACTGGGTTGTCCAGGTGGATCAAAATAGCTGATCACGTTATGACTATGAACTATATATTCTGTACATTTTCGATGTATTACATTTTTTCACTATGATAGTGGTGAGACATGTTTTATTGTAAACCTTGAACATTGATATACATTGTATGTCATGTTAGAAGGTCGTAGCATCAGTCTCGCTATCTACGAGATGAGACTTGAATGGGATCTTGGCATGATGTTACCATACAATACTATGTGTGTTGCAAACCCCAAGTAATGTACCTCTGATGTAATATAATAGTAATAAACCATCTGTATTAGTTTGAAAGTCATGGCCATGGTTTTCAAAATGAACCTTATAACAAACTTGTCCTTCAGTCTTGTGGTTCTTTACTAGATTCTAATTAAAAAAATAATTGTTGAATTTATTATGCATATACTTGCTGTATTATATTGAGGGGAAGAAAGAAGGGGGTCATAACAAGGTTAATATTTTAACAATATATTCAGAAATATTTAACGCTGAGGTTTTATTTCGTGAAGACTGCACAGCAGAAGAATTCATTGATGTTGTCGTTGGCAAAAGAGTTTATTTACCATGTATATATGTAAGTAATTTATTCCATACTTGATTTATACTGGTACATATATATTGGATTTGTATATCTAAAAAAATGAGAATATATAGATGAATATTGTGTGTATTCTAGGTTACTGTTGGCTATTACACTTCATCGAACAATCTTTAGTGCAGAGTTAAAATCCTTACCCCTGGGAAAGTGCAGGTTTTAAAAAAAAGTTACTACATTTGTATTACAGGTTTTAATGATTTGTAATGATCCTCACAGTGTGAATATTGCCATTAATGCCTCTATCTTGTTGTTTGAATAAATGTTTAACTTGACTGATAAAACCTTGTTTATTTTGGGCCTTATTTTGTGGGCCTTCAAATATGACTATTTAGATACCAACCTTATGTTTAGGTGCTTTTTCACATTCAAAATGATTCAACCTGCGATTTCCGTAAAACATTACAGTATTTCGCAGGCTGGTGAGCAGGTAGTAGGTGGTTTGGCAGCTGCGTGCGTGAATGTGATCCTTCGTTTTTTTCACATATATTTGAAGACCACTTATTGGTTTTCCATGAAATTTAGTAAAAACACAATTAGTTTGGGGTTGAATTATTAATTACCTAATGGGCTTAATAATTAATAAATTTTTCCTTGGTATGTAAGTGCCTGAGAACAATGTAATTCTCACATTTTTAAGAAACTTGGAATACAGATGCAGAATTGATAATTCTTCTATGATAATTCTTTGACATGATTAATGCTTAAAAACATG